AAGTAGTATATAAATTAATTTTTTTATTAGAGTAGTGTTTTACAGGAAAATCTTTGAGACCGTGTAGTGCAGTATTTGAATTATGGTTTGAATATACGATTTATTTCTGCATCATAAATAGACAACTGATGTCAGCTTGGAGGACTGCTTTCTTTTGATTTGTCTATTAGTAAATTCTGTTTGTCATTATTCTGTAGCCTTCTGCTCCTAATGCTGTTTAATCCTTACCCTTTTACCTTATCTTCATAAAGTTTTTTCTTTCATCTCTTCCTCTGTCTTCTTTGAGATTGGTATGGAGAGCGTGCTGTATATATTTGTGCTGTATATATTTATGCAGTGTGTAAAGCGGTGGGACTAATATACTGCTATTCCTTAACACAAATGATTTAAAATGCAAACTGGAGAGAGTAATTGGCTGAACTAGTGAGAGGAATCTCTTTGAACAAATTTTTTTTGCTATATGCGGTTTTCTTATAAATATGAATTGGACTGGCTTCTGTGGCTTTTACATATGACTAATTCATATTGCATTTATTAAACCAAAGCAAAACCTCTGGAAACGTTTTTCATGTTATTTTACATGGCTTTCTTACTAAATACTGGTACCTCCTCAGTCCTACCTTTGGACTTCGTGATGAAAGCTGAAGTGCCACGACTGTTCTCTGCAATCTATGGCTGAAGTACAGTAATAGAAAGTATTAGGTTATTGAGCTAACAGTCAGTTTTTGTGCATGTTCCATGGACTGGGTCTGCGTTTGAGGAGAGGTTTAAAGATTAATGTGGTGATGCTATAATATCCCATTAGGGTTAGTTAGGTACTACAGAAAAGTGTAGTAATATTTTTTCAAGTCCTTAAAAGTGAAAGAATACAACAAAAACATAATTCCCATATGAAATGCTTGTTTTTATTAAGTGTACATAGATGTTTGTTATTCCAGATATGTTCATTGACTATACTCTTTATTGGTTTTGATAAATTATTTAATAGATAATTTGCTGTAGAATGGGTTTTTTACGAGTACTATTTTGTGAGCTGTGGCAAATGTCCTCATAACCCATTAGCAACGTTTGTTATCAGAACTTCAGTTGTTCTCTTCCCAAAGAATCATCTGTACATAGTTATGTATATGTTCTTCCTTTCCTTTGGCAATGTTTAATAATTCTGAAACAAGTCTGCTAAAATACAGATAAACTCAGACTGGTAGTTCTGATGCCAAGGACCTAAACAAGCTTGAGAAGTGGGCCAGTGTGAACTTCACGAGGTTCAACAAGAACAAATGCAAAGTGCTGCACCGGGATTGGGGTGACCCCTGATATGAATACAGGCTGGGGGATGAAGGGACTGAGAGCAGCCCTGGTGAGAAGCACTTGGGGATACTGGACATGAGCCAGCAATGTGTGGTTGCCGCCCAGAAAGCCATTTGTATCCTGGACTGCATCAAAAGCAGCGTGCCCAGCAGGTCGAGGGAGGGGATTTTGCTCCTCTATTCTGCTCTGGTGAGACCCCACCTGGAGTGCAGTGTGCAGCTCTTGGGTCCCCAGCACAAGAAAGGCATGGTGCTGTTGAAGCAGGTCCAGAGGAGGATCACAAAAATGGTTGTTGTAATGGAGCACCTCTCCTATGAGGAAAGGCTGAGAGAGTTAGGGTTGTTCAGCCTGGAGAAGGGAGGTAGGGAGACCTTAATTGTGGTCTTTCAGTACTTAAAGGGGGCTTATAAGAAAGATGGGGACAAACTTTTTAGCAGGGCCTGTTGCAATAGGACAAGGGTAGTAGTTTTAAATTTAAAGGATGTATATTCAGACTAGATATCAAGAAGAAATTTTTTACGATGGGGGAGGTGAAACACTGGAACAGTTGCCCAGAAAGGTGGCAGATGCCCCATTCCTAGAAGCATTCAAGATCAGGTTGGATGGGGCTCTGAGCAAGCTGATGCGCTGCTCATTGCAGGGGGGTTGAACTAGATGGCTTTTAAAGGTTCCTTCCAACCCAAACTATTCTGTGATTCTGTAGGGTAAAGAAGAGAACTGTCACAATCTGTTACAGAGATGTGTGGTCCTGGTGAGAGCAAGTTTGAAAAGCAGGAGTTGGATGCATCTTGTGGTATGAGTAGTAGTAGCCTTCCAACGCTTGCTACAGGAAACCTTTACACATTTCCCTCGTCACCATAACAAGAGCTCCTTCCAGTTCCTGTGTCTGTGGTAAAGTTGGTTCAGATTAGTGCTTGTCTTCATAATTTGTGGTTCAGATAATTTCCCCCTGTCACCAGTGTCACATAAACAGAATTGCTTTCAAGTAGCTGGGTACCAACAACAGCTTACATGAGTGACAATCCATTGCTGAAGTTCTTAGACCTTCATTCTCTTGGCTGTGTTTTCTCAATTCCCTGCCTTATTTATAATGTGGAAACTCCTCCCATGATTCTTAATGTAGTTTATTAGCTTTATTTTACAGACATAAAACTGACCAGAGATTTGATTTTTGTTGAGAGGGTACTGTGTGATCAAGGTTTAAATTAGATAAGTAAACCTCTGGGGCTCAGTCGCAGGTTTTGACAAAAGTAACCTTCTTATTTTCCATGCCCAGAAATAACTGAGACTGTGAAACAATGTTACAAGGTTGTAAAAGCATGGTATTTGTATGCCAAAAATCTAAGTTAGTCCAAATGCCTTCAAAAGGAAAATGATCATGTGTAGTGTTAAATTTCTCTCTTCTCAAATAATTCATATCACATTTTAAACTGAAAGTGTAAATATTAATTATTAAATAAACTATTAATTATGATCAAATTATCAAATATTAATTAGGGGATCTGTTAATTGGAAGTTCAAAGAAAAACAGGATTGCTGAAGACTTAAGCAGTTACGGTGATGTGTGTAAGTGATCAGGTAGTCCTGATGTGTATTTGTACCAATTGCAGGTGCAGAAGCTGTGTACTCTTAGAGCACTCAGATTTTTTGAGGCAGTAACATCCAGAAGCAAACAGAATCTACAGAGTTTGCCTCTGTATTACATCTATTATTTTATTGTTTGAGTATTTTAGTTCTTGTGAAGGATAAACTCTGAGGTAATAATTCCTGCGTTTGTAGAAGATGAGACTTGTTATAAGGATATTTATATAAGAAGTTTGTGCTGCCTGCTGCTGCAATTAGTTGAACTTGCTGTGCTTTGTAGATCTCCCGTGACGCTTCTTATTTTGGCAATGGTGCTGTTATATAACAGGGCACTTTGGCATTTGGTGAAGTTACTTTTTGGCCTTATTCTTTGTAACTTGCTTACTTGTAGCTGCCCAGAAACAGGCTTAATTTTTTTAATTGAAAAAGTGATTTAGAAAAATTAAGTTCTTGTAATTAAGAGGCAGTTCCTCACACTGAAAAAAGTACAACCGGCAGTGAGTTAGACCTTCCGTTTAAAATGAGTTATTCTGTTCTGTAAGGAATTTTTTTCCTGTTCTTGAAATGGGCAGAGTGAGACAATTTACAAAAAACATCTCTTTTTCCCGCTTCTCGACACACACCCTCTAATTTTTTTTGGCAATAAAACTTTACTATCATTTACTCCAAAGCCTTCAACTCTTATTCCTTATCAGTGTTTGCAGACAGAAAAAAGTTTGCTAAGCCCCTACTATCGTCCTTGTTTGCAGGTCTATAACCTACAGGTCCCCAGACTCCTGCTACTCTTGTCTTGTGTATCCTGCTCATGCACAAAGTTGTTTACCTTGACACTAAAGGAAGGAGTTAACAAGCTTAATCTGTTTCATGAGGACAAACTGTTATCCAGTTTTCTTTTTCACATCTTAGCTCTCCCTTTCATGTTCTGTCTTGTCGTCTTCTCCCCACACTCACTTCTCAAAGTATTCCACCTGGTGGTAAAATTAGGGAAATAGTTAATGGAAATGGTTCACATATGCATAGATCAAGTAGTGTAAGAACCTGTAATACAAGTCCTAATTTATTCCAGTTCCCTTTTTACAGTAATGAGAAATGAGAATATTATCTGTGCACCTTAAATAAGTTTTGCAAGTTCGGTTTTTTTGCATTTATAGTGAAATGTGTTTGATCTCTAACACTTTATATTGCTATGCACTAAAGATAAATAAAACGTGATACCCTGACAGTAGGCACAGAGAACCATTCTAACATTGATAAGACAGTACTATGTATTTAGTACTTTCTACTATTTAATAAAAATTCTCACTTCTGTGTGTGCCAGTTGCAGAGAAATTGGAACAGACTATTGTACTTCCAGGTAAGGTAGGCTTCCAGATATCTCCTGCAATATTTGACTTCTTGGTTTATAGCAAATAAAAACAGTGATTGTTAGTAGTCATCTGGAAAACGTTCCTCCCTTTCAGGAGAAAGAAACATTTCATTGAATGGTGGCATTTCTTCAGTTTTGTAGTAAGGGAAGGAGATCAATATTAAGGGGAGTTAACTTCTGTAGTTTGACTACAGATGAAAACTTTGCTATTAGTCTGTCCTGAGGTGTGAAAGCTCCAGTCCTATATACTTTAACACTGCTGAATTGCTTAATTTTAGAAATGGCAAGCAGGAGTCTGCTTGTCTTCTTATATTGCCAGGAATGAATACCTTAAAATGATAGGTATATTACTAGAAATTTTGCACACATTTGGGAAGCCCTCTGAATGGTGATGCCTAGTAGCTGAATGTCCCAACGTTCTTCAAGTGTTCAGTAATGTCAGCTGTCCCATTAAATTAATTTTGAACTTTGTTCTCTCGTTTGACCTTCAAACCTAGTGGTAAATACTATCCTGAGTATGCTTTTATACTGAATAAAAGATGAGATTTTTTTCAGATTCAAATTTTATGTTTCTCTAACTGCTGTGTTCTGTGTGTTCACAAGACCATTAAAATTGTTGAATTTACTTACCATATGTTGTTTCTTACAGGCTTATCACAGAATGTAGAAGCATTACACTGTGACAGTATTATTTAAATATTTCCTTATTTTCTCTAGATCAATGTCAGAGTAACCACAATGGATGCAGAGTTGGAATTTGCCATCCAGCCCAATACAACAGGCAAGCAGCTCTTTGATCAGGTAACTTGTCTCTGTGTATATGTGAGTACAAACACATAAAAGTATTGTGGGTATTAAGGCATAGTTTGAAAAAGCGAAAGTGTTCTCATGTACGGATTATGTTTTTCTGATGTTATCTGGCTGTGCTCTGCGTTAGTGTGAATATTCTCATTACTTCTCATGAAACTGTATTGAATTCAAAGACCACTCTGTAAATAGGTTACCAGTGAGACTTCGGTTGAATCATGTATAGAACTGTTTTTAAATGGAATAGTATTTCTTATGTCTAATAAAAAAAGTTGCTACTGCAATATAGTTGTTAGAATTACATATATTAAAAATATGAATGTAACAGTAACTTCATTAATGAAAGCTAACTTTTTTCCCCCAACAGTGGAAGCTGTAGGTTGTTTTTCACTTCCCAAATGTTAGAACTACCTAATGTTGTCCTATGAACCAGTTTGAAATTTAGGTTAACAAAAAGAAGGCAAAAACCCCCCAATAATGCAAAATAATGACATTAATATGCTTATAGATTACAGACCTATCAGAACTGCACATTCTCACTTGATAGTGTCTCTGTTGTACATCAGTCATGTACATCAATCATCAGAATGAATGATTTCTTAAAACAGGATTGTTCTCGCACTTATGTGATGCTAGCCAACAGATTCTTGAAACAATTTTTTGATCTAGGTTGTGAAGTGTTATAGAAAACGTTAAGAGTAGAAGCTTGTCAGTGCATTGTTTTGTTTCCCCAATATAACAATAAATATATTTTGTTTAAAAAATGCAGAACTGTCTGAAATTACTCTTGAAAAACAGTTCAGCTAGATGAACAGTTATGTCTAGTAGAACTGGTGTTTCTCTCCACTTTTGATGCTTGAAGTATGTACTGATAAGTACTAAGAGAAAGTAACACACTGAAAAAGTTCTTTAAGAGCATTTAAACTTTCAGGTGACCTTTTAGAGTTGATAGAATGTCTCAGTATATAACTTGAAAACAGGAGAATGTTTATTGTTTGTGACACTGAGGTTTTTCTTTTAGATAAATGAAATTTCATTTGCAATTTTCATTTGAAATGACTGCCTGACTCTTAACACTTATATTACCCATCCCATTCTCCAACATCAGTAGTAGTAGTATGTCTTCAGCCTCTACATAGGAATAGACTTCATGATTCTTACTAAGAATTCTTGAAAAAAAGGAACTGTCTTGCTTTTTGTCTAACCAACATCACCATCAAATATAAGTATGGTATTCTGTGATGTAGAAGGCTCAAGGTGTTCCTTGTCTTCTGCCAACCTTTGCTATCTTATGCCAGGCAGTGTTGGGTGGGGTGTAACATTCTACCATGTAACATCTTGTGTCCAGGTAATCAGGTTCATCCAAATTGGGGCATTCACAAACAGTGAACAAAGATACAGCCCTGAATTTGTTTTCATGCTCTCTTCTTTGTTCCTCAGTTCACTGTGTGGTGTTTGACATCTCACCAGCTCTTACCTCTGGAATTTTAAATAGAAAAAATGTTAGGTCAAGAAAAAACAACCAGCATAGATGTGTGTGAGAAGAGAAGCATTTTCAGCTTGATCTTAAATTCATCTGTGAGTTCTACAGAGTAACATGAAGAGCTGAACTGTATTGCAAAACAGTCATGAAATTTTCAGACAAAAGTTATCCTGTTTCTCTGTAGAAAGAGAATTCAATAGCACTGTTATTGAAGGGATTGCCTTATTCAGAAGTGGTGAACATGACAGCAGACTTGTTGATTATTGATTGCAGAAAATAACCTCTCCATGAATTTAGCTGTTATTTAGTGCTCCTCTATGTTTCTGGTGAACGATTTGTCCTTTTTTCAGTCAGTGTTCTTTTAAGCTTTTAATTGGTATTTTCTGGAGTTGTTGATTTGTTTTCCATTCCATGTGCGTGTTTTCACCATCTTCATCTGCTAGCAGACAAGAATGAAGCATTTAACATCTGTGGCTTTCTCTTTTCCATTTTCAAACTCGGCAAACTTCTTATTTATTGCACAAACTTTTTTAAATTATTATTACTTGCATTTCAGAAGGTATTTTAACATTTTTATCATTGGTCTATCTATCCTGTCAGCAGTCAGAATAGGCAAGAGATGACCTGTCCTCCTGTAGTCAACCAGTTAAGCATTTATAACTTTCCTAGGAGAGGAAGAACCCTGTGGTGGGTATGTTTCCACACACTGGTGGTATTGCTGGGGTTGTGTTGTGGTAGCACTGAGCATCAGTAGCTCTGGTTTACTGTGGTTGCCATTCAGAAAGAATGGGAGGGTTTGTTTTCTCTTCTATTTTGAATTATACCCTGCTGTCCTTTCCAGGTGTCTCAGAAACCTTCCTTACAGCCTTTTGGAAGGTGACTGAATGAAATCCTTATTAGATTGTCTTTGTGTATATTTTGATTTGCCAAAATGTATATTGTTCTGGTTACTTTTCTTCTTCAAGAAGGTTTTTTTTTGCCTATTAATAGTCACGTTTTAGGATGTGATGGTAGATAAATCCGTTTTACAGAGGTGATGAAGACTTGCATCTTCAGCTACTTAATGAAATGTTTGAGCGAGAATGAAACTGCTAAGTTTCTCATTCTGTACTTATTGTATCATGCTACTACAGTGCAAAAGTACATGTATTAGCTTGGTACAAAGTTCCAGGAAGTGTTTCTCTTTCCTTTGGGCTGAGAGGCCGTGTAGGCAATGCTTTTTCCTTATTTGTGGAGTCTGAAGTAAAATAGGCTAGTGTGCAAGCTGGTTTTGGTGTTGATTTGCAATCACGTGTAACTCTGCATTGCTGTATCCAAGTTGCCTGTATTTAAATAGTGTGCAGTGTGCATCTCAGTGAAGGACTGTAGTTAGTGGGTGAGAGCAAAATGTTTTGACATGAGCATAAGCACGTCTCCTTATGCCTTATGGGCAGAGCTGTTGAGCATCTGCAGCTCTTTGCAGCTCAGAGAGCTGATGAGGTACAGAGGCTCAACTTGGACAGCTGCAAAGTAAAGAGCATTCTCAGTCATTTGATAAAACCAGAGGTAGTTTGATCAACATTAAATAGGAGATATGTGTCAAAAGAAGCAGCAGGTCTGAAATTTCAGTGTTGGAACACCAAATTTAACCTATGTTACTAGGACCCATAGCTACTATGGTACTAGTAACATACACTTAATGTTTATGTTCTAAAGTAAATGGTGTGGGAATTCTAAAGGAAGTAACTGTGCTCACTAAAGACATCAATCAGGTTAGATCTGTGAACATTGTCCACTTAGTGCTTTGGAGCTTGACTGTGAAAGGGCAGAGGAGGAAAAAAGGTGCACAGTTGAATGATTGTTAAGTGATAATGCAAATATGCAAGGCAGCAGAAGTAAGTTTGCACAGCTATCTTATGACATATTTTCTAATTTTCAAAATCTTAATTTTGCAAGCCGATAGTACTACTTTAAAATGGAGGAGGATCTATGTGTAAAATTCTATTTACTTCACATGCATCTGAATGCTTCCATAAAACAGCCTTCAGTAAAGCAGCTTGCCAGCATGGTCCAACCTGAGAACATACGTAAGTACTGCCATACGGGATCTTTTGGAGCCAGAGTTTACAGTCATTTAATAATCTTTGCTGGACCTTTCAGATTAATTGTTCATTAAATCCACATGTGCTTCTGCTATGCAAGACTTGTAAAATAGTTCCACAGTTTCATTGCACTGCGTAGTAAAAGTGCTTCTTTTTGTTTGCTTTGTGCCTGCAATGTCATGATTTCTGTTGATTCTCTTAATTCTTATATTATGAGAAATAATGAATAATCATTCTCTATTATCCTTCTACATGCCATGCAAGTTTTATAGGTCTGTATCATATTTTTCCTTTCCTTGTTTCTCTGTCAGTAGCCCTAGTTCTCATCTTAGCTATGCAGAAAACGTTCCAAGTATGGTTGTTCTTTTCAGCGCTTCTGAAACATTTCAAGTGCTGCAGCATCCTTTTTTTAAGTCCTTATGTAGTATTAGAGATTTGGGAATACCATACACAAGTATAGTAATGTAACAGCTTTATTGCCTTTTTACTTTACAACTAGAACTTTGTTCCCATAATTTGAATAGTTGTCTTTTATGTATAGTATTTTGTTTTTATTAAACACCATCTTTTATTGAGGTTTGTGTTTTTACTGTTCATTCACAGATCTTTATGAAAGGTTTTCTACAGCAGATTTTGTCACATCAGTTTCATCCTTTTTGGAAGTCCTGGGGGACTTCAGTAGTGGTTACACTATAAGTCTGTTATGAAAACATTTAGGTTTTTTTTCTTTCTTTTTAGCTAGTGTATCCATAAATCAACCCTCCCTCTGTTCAAGGACAATTTTGTTTCTTTAGTAGCTTGTGGTGATAAACGCCATCAGAAATCTTATAGGAAAGTCTTGTATGGTTTATTAACTGAATCATCCTTATCCCTTTTATCAGTAACTCTCTTAGAAGCTTGTAAAAATATTTGAAGGAGCTGAGTCATCCTCATATCTGTCCACAAATGTTATTCTTTTTTCTCAATTCTCCAATTGTCTTCTGTAAGTGGACTTACATCTCTGTAGGTCTGCAGATCATTTCCCAGATGTGCTTTCCAATCTCAGGGTCCTGTTTACTACCTTCAGTTCCTCAGGTGCTGATGGACGCAGTAAGCTGCACGCTCCACTTGATAGTTTCGAAACACAGTGGTGTTTCGAAACATTTATGTAGAGCTCTGGGGTTCAATGAACCTGATGTTTTGCTACTATTTTATCTTTTTTTTTTTTTTGTTCTTGTAAGACTTGACTACATTTCAGTTTGCGATTGGTTTATGTAGGTTAATTACCATTTTAAAAATTTCAGTGATTACTGATGATTATGGCTCGTTTATCTTTAGGTGGTGAAAACTGTTGGTCTTCGTGAAGTCTGGTTTTTTGGGCTACAGTATGTGGACAGCAAAGGCTACTCAACTTGGCTGAAGCTAAATAAAAAGGTAACAATTCCTTAATATCGAGCCACGTGTACAGTTTGAAATATACTTTACAAGGTTTGCTGCTTTAGTGCTGTAGGTGAGATATAGCTGACTTCAGAGTTAAAGCAAATGAAAAATTTCTTTTCATTTGCTTTAAATGACAAAATACAGCGTTAAATTTGTTTAGTTGTAAAAGAATATGCAAAGCTGCATCAGTATTTAATTTGAGAAGGAGATAGTTTTCAGTATTTACAGTACCATGGTGATGCATGCGTTAGGAAAACTGATTCATGTGATTGTCTTGTTCTCTTGTAGCAAAACATAACAGAATAAATGTTTTACAGTTTGGGCATGTGTACCAGAACAATTTGGGCTTCAGGAATTTGTATGTACATAGATCTTTCAAACAAGGCACGAACAGCAGGCTTCTAAACTTTAGGTATCTAATAGGCAGATTTTAGGATAATTTTTATTTTGGTTCTTTTTTTTTTTTTTTCTTCCAAACAGCACTAAGCATGTTGTATCTCTCAGCTATTGGGAATCAGATCATTTTAATTTAAATTGTATTTGTGAATTTGAATGGTTACATATTTGAAAGACCACATCTGATCTGTTCACAGAAATCACGTTTATAAAGCTTATCGATTCTAGAAAAATAACATGATTAAAGGAATTATGTTTTTTTCACAGGAACAAAGCACATGTATTTAGTTGGGTAGTTCAGAGACTTTTAAAAGAATGCGGCTTTACACTGACATTGACAAAATGTACTGTAGTTCTTCCTAAAGAAATGTTGCTAGACCCTAATTTATTACTTCCTGAATATCATCCATGGATATAGTTTTTATTTTTTTAATGGTACTTTTATAGCTTCTTTTTTCCAGATTTTTATTATGATAAATACGGTTTTCACACCAGCCTACAAAAAAAATCTGGTTAAGAACCTTTAAGTAATATTTCAAGATCGTCTGGTTTATCCAAATTGGTGTACTTGATTGTTCCGTGAGAACCTTTAGTGAGTTCCACAGTGGGCTTGCTAGGAAGCACTTTGTTTCGGTTTAGAGTAGCTAAAGACTTCAGTACTACTTAATAATATTTAATATACCTTTTAGTGCTCTCTTTATTTCTTTCTGTATTCCTCTCCCTCAGGTAACACAGCAAGATGTACGAAAAGAAAATCCTTTGCAGTTCAAGTTCAGGGCCAAGTTTTTTCCAGAGGATGTATCTGAAGAACTAATTCAGGAAATAACTCAGAGACTTTTCTTCCTGCAAGTCAAAGAATCGATCTTAAATGATGAAATCTATTGCCCACCGGAAACTGCGGTTCTTCTGGCTTCTTATGCTGTCCAGTCCAAGTATGCAGATTACAGTAAGGAGATCCATAAACTAGGCTACCTAGCCAATGACAGACTTCTCCCCCAGCGGTGAGTGAGACTGATTTTGCACCAACTGCTGCATAGAAACTTAATTATTGCACAATTCTTAGAAATAAAACTATTAAGTGATAAAGTGCATTTAATGTTGGCTTTCTTAGGATTTCATGTTTTGCTAGTAAAATTTGGAGATCCTAATTTAGACTTTAAATAACAAGGAAGTGTCACAGCCACAGGTTTCTTGAGACGTATTTCCTGTCCTGTCCACAAACACCTGCAGAGATTTAGTTGAACACATTCCAAAATACTCCAAAATGGGTTAATGTTACTGGAGGCCTGCTTCTGCTAAACCAAAATCAAAATACTCCAATGTAGAAGCAACTGAGATCCATTTGGTACTCTCTCCCTTTGTTAATTTTAATGCTTTTGTACATTTAAACGGTAATTATTTTCTGAAAGTAATTGTAAAGTGTACTGCAAATAAAATACATTGCAGGAAAACGCTAACCTGAACAGAAGATTTAGAAACTAAATTGTTGCTGTTGAATATAAACTCTTTTGTATCAGTCACTCATCTAATTGGTTAGGGAAAGTAAGCACCAAGATTACAGTCCTATTTCTTTAATGCAGCTGAAACCACGCTCTTGGTGTGTTTGCCACGAAGAAAAGCATTGCAGCACAAATGTACAAAGTTAGACAATTTTGTTAGCTTAGATGAATACATAGTGATGTATTGTGGGCAAATGTGTAGTTACTAAATATGTGACATAAATCGTCAAAGAAATGAGTGACATGGGGTTATTTGAGGTTTCTTTAAGTCATATGCTTTGTCTCTTTGGTTTGAAAACTAAAAACTCACTTATTAGCATAACTAAGCTTGAGAATTTTCTAGCAAACAAAAAGACATTTCAAAGATTGTGGTGAAGTATTAAAAGAAGTATTTCTGAAAATCTTTTTTAAAAATCCTGGTGAAAAGCTTGGGTTTGGCTGTTTGCTTCCACTTTATGACAGTGAAATCTATACCTTTTCCTGGAAAATACCTTTTACGAGGAAGGCAGGGAGATGTAGAACCAGTAAAACTGTCATTACTGAGTATGTTCACAAATCCTGGCTTTTGCTCAGTTGTGATGACAGTCTGTGAACACGAGAGTGCTTGGATACAATAGAAATTCAACTATTTAAACTCCTTTTCAGTAGGCAAATGTTCAGGTGATTTTCTAATTGTCTTTTAAAATAATTTCTCCAGGAATGCTTGAAATGCTGAGTGTGTGGAATAAAAACATAATAAAGTTATCATATGCATTTGATTTTTTTTTACCACAGTACTGCACTGAAAGTTTTGGTAGGCCAAAATATAATTCCATAATTGCAGACTTAGACAAACCTCAAATAGCTTTCTGAAGCTGCTTTGCTATTGATTTTTTTTTTTTTAAATAAAGAAAAGAAACCAACACACAAAACCCCCAGAAAACTCGTCTGCTAACTTGTCTGCTAGTTTGTTACGCTCAGGCTTCCGTTTTGTTGTCATCTGAAACAAAAAGTCTTTGCATACCTAGAGATTAATTTGCAGCACTGTTGTGGGAATATTCTATAGGTGTGCATTTTCAAGTGTTCAAACATTACTTTTTACGACTTTACTGCTAGCTGAGATGTGCCATGGAGTGACTTTCATATTACAAAGAATGTAGAATACCAGGAAAAAAGAAGTGACTTTCACACTGTTTTAAAAGTGTATTTGTTCAAATACAAAGTTTGTGTCTTGTGTTAAAAAGATGAGCAGTGTATAGGAAGTCATCTTTAAGTTTATTCAATTAAAGCGTATGTTATGCTTTGTAACTAAACGTACTTTTATAACTTTAGGAGGTTAAATTGGTTGTCAGTGTCATTTAATAGCAACAACTTGTATTCACAGGGTGTTAGAACAGCACAAACTGACAAAAGAACAGTGGGAAGAAAGAATACAGAACTGGCATGAAGAGCACAGGGGAATGTTAAGGTAATAATACAAAAAAAAGGTTCTCAAGACATTTTATTACTATTAGGATGTGTTTTAGGAGGTGGTATATTTGTTTGGAAAACAGTTTTCATTTATTCTGACAAGGGTAGGTGGTTATGAAAAACTTGCATAGAAGTTTCAATAAGGGATGAATTTCCAATGAAGTTACTGGTTTACTTAAATACTTTCTGGTAGGGTTGTCAACTGCCTTTGTCCACAGTTGCCTGCCTCTAAAATACATTTAGGGTTTCCTTAGCTCATGGGGTGGAAAGACAAAGCACGGTGATTTGACTCTATGAGTATCTGAGTCAAACTACATGTGAATTTCAAAGAGATACTTAATTCATAAATAAATTTTACACCAACTGGTTATTCTGCAGTTCCCTTATTCTTACAAGATACTTATGATTTGTTGTCTACACTATACCAATTTTTCTTTCATCAGGGAAGATTCTATGATGGAATACCTTAAGATAGCACAAGACTTGGAAATGTATGGAGTCAACTATTTTGAAATAAAGAATAAAAAAGGAACTGAATTGTGGCTGGGAGTTGATGCTTTGGGTCTGAATATTTATGAGCATGATGATAAGTAAGTGGCTAATACTCATTTTCCAGTTCTGTTCTAGGAGATGCTATCTGAGATCATACAACCCCCACCTTACTGTGTGTTCAATAAGATCTGGCAAAACAGGCTCTCAAAGACCTTCTAATCTATGTAAAAAAAACAAAAAAAGAGAGATAGATGTTAACTGCCAGAATATTTGAATTTTAAAAAATAAATAGGGATGCAAAAGAAGGCAAAGGAAGAGCAGCAGTTCTGTGGAAGCTTTAAATTTACATTGCTTAATATGGATTTATGACAACTAGACCATATTTGTATGGTTTCTTTCTGTACTTTTCACTCAAGACTTCCCCTTCAGTCAGGATGAAAAGTACATATTGAAACTGGGCAACATATTTAATGAGAAACATTTTGTAAGAGCTAGGATTGGAATTACAGATGTTAGAGCATGAAAAACTTCGGTGTCTAGAAGTGAAACCTTTTGGACATCAAAGAAAATAGGTCAATCTCGTGTCCTGATAAGGAGATCAAATAATCGGTCCTACCCAAAGAGGTGTAAAGCTGAAATGTACAAGATTTGAAGAATTTGGAAATAGAACAACAGATTTATTATTTTATTTTTTTTACAAATACTTGTTAGTAGTATCTGGTGTCAACAGTCCATTCACAGTGGTTGAAGTGAAATGTGATGTGTCAGACTCCAGATAGCAGCTGTCAACTTTTGATGTATATACTCTGTAACAAAATTTTGTAAACCTTAATTGCCATTAGATGGCAATGTAACTCCTGAAAGAAGGAAATAGTCAGAAAATGTTCAGATCAGATTGTGAATGATGAGGCAGTTTTCAGTAATCTTTAGCTCCTGATAGTTAGCAATCAAATACTGAAATATTTTCTCTTGCTTAGAATTAAGATAATATGAATTGAAAAATCTTCCTGTGCAGATAGGAGAAAATAAGTACAGGTGTTGCAGTTGATGCATATCACTGTAACAATTTCTGAATGTAATTTATTTTGCTTAAGATGCAAAGGAAATAAATTTTGGAAACGAAAGAACACACCTTAAATCTGAGCTAAACTTAAGTACAGCATTGCTGAAAGCTACTTAAATTTCACTATTTAAAATGTCAATTTCTTAAATTTAAGTAGTTACTCTCTTTGCTGAAAATAAAATCATCAATAGCTTATAAAGAACTAGTACGTGATTGTGATGCTTAGCATCTAGCTGGTGGAAGTAGAATAAGTCACAAATTAAAATTCCTTTTGTTACAGTGCCATGTGATTTATTAATTATGTAATTAATTTGATGGAATAACGTGTTAAAAAAAAATGTCTACCAACATGAACTGTTGTTAATGTTTTAATGTAAACATAATGTTGTAATGGTAACATTCTAAACGTAACTGAGTGTAACACTGAAAATGGTATGGGAATAGATCTTATTGGATATATATATATATAAAGTGAACAGCCTTGCTGCTTCTAATGAGAGCTTCTTCTCTTTGAAGGCTGACACCCAAGATTGGTTTTCCTTGGAGCGAAATAAGAAACATCTCTTTTAACGACAAAAAATTTGTCATAAAGCCAATTGACAAAAAGGCCCCTGTAAGTAGTGTGTAGAATAGTATCCCTTTGTATATGGATACAAAGACATTTAAGCCTGCAGGGACTTGCTCTGGCATTATGGCATGAGTAAATATTTTGTGACAATTATTATTCTTACTGGTGGAATAGTCAGTAATCACAAGGAAATTTTGATTTTGAAATGTTACATTTTTATTTTTTGTCTTTTCTTTCTGGTTGATAGTATGGTATGTTTATTTTCTCTCTTTTCTGGTTGATACTTTTAATTACTGAGCTCTTTTTAAGTCAACTTAACACTTTGTAATGTGTTCAAAAGACACAGTGTAAGATGCTAAATTCTCTGCCCCCCTCCCTCCTTTGTTTTTCTTTTTTGTGTGTGTTACAGCAGCACATTTCAGGAGGCTCTCTAGGTCAAATCTCCTCAGAATAGAGAATAGTTTTAATGTTTTTAGAATTTTAAATGAATTATGTAAACCAGCTAATTTCTACTTAGAATATTCCAGGTGTAATCTTGAATTTATCTTACAAGATTTATAGATTATGGTGTTCCTTTGCTCAAAATGTCAAAATAACTAGTAAGTTTTCACTTAACCAGTGCAAGCATGAAGTAATGCTTTGAGTCTTGTCACAAATGTATTTTTTTAGATTAAGGGATATATTGCAATTATTTTTGCTAGGATTTTGTTTTTTATGCACCCCGTCTGAGAATTAACAAGCGAATTTTGGCACTTTGTATGGGAAATCATGAATTGTACATGAGGAGGAGGAAACCTGATACAATTGAAGTGCAACAGATGAAGGCCCAAGCTAGAGAAGAGAAACATCAGAAACAATTGGAAAGGTAATTAACAAACTTCCACGAAACAGAAAAAATTCTTCTGCCCTTTTAAGGAGTTATCGAAGTATCAGGGTTCTTAGAATTCTAGAAAAGGGAGAGCTGCTTTTCTTTCTGCAGTGTGTAAGTGGGTTTGTGGATTGTCATTGCTCACCTGTCTTAATAGAAAGCCGTATCTTTTTTGAACTTCCAGCGCAGTAATAGTAGCTGTACTGTTGTTTCTTGTTATGTTTTTTTGTGAAACAGTCTTTTGTCTCTTTTGCTTGATCTTTAGGGACTTTTATACTCTACAGGTGAGCCTTTTAAAGCAAGTTCAGTGAAGAATGGCACAGCTTACCTTTTGTGTATTTGAAAAATACTGTTGCCATTTCTAGCCCAGATTGAACATCATGCCTAAAATGCAGATATAATTGTAGATTTATGTGCTTGAACCATAACCAATGTTGCTGATCAGTTCTGTTCATAAAGTGTTGTTCTGTACAGTATTTTGAAACAGAAGCTGAATTTGAAACGTTTAAAGTCATGTGCTTCTCTTCTAGCTGAGTAAACTGAAAAATAGGCTACCAGCATACGAAGAGTAGAATTTAATATGCTTGACGGCAAAAAACCCTTTTTACAATTTTTTTTCAGGGCACAATTAGAAAATGAGAAGAAGAAAAGGGAGATAGCAGAAAAGGAGAAGGAGAGAATAGAGCGTGAAAAGGAAGAACTAATGGAACGCTTAAGACAAATTGAGGAACAAACCATGAAGGCTCAGAAAGGTGAGCTCTTACTGGTCATGGATTTCTTAAATCTGATGATGATGTTTAGTTTAGTAGGGTAGCTCAGTTCCACAATTCTTTTTTATGTTGGAGGGTTTTTTGTTATTTTATGGGGGGTTTTAAAAGTTTATTTTTCTAATAATAGCAATATTTGATGTAAAAGATACTATTTTTTAGTGTTCAGATGACGGTGTGCATGCATTTGCTTGTATCTTTTTAACATAAAACCAATTTCTAATATTACAGAAATTCCAGTTTAGTAAAAAGGTAATTAATGGATACACGGTTCAACTCAGGATTATGAAAGGCTTAAAGTGCTGAAAACCTGGAGTTGGAGGGAGCAGGGAAATTAGAGATGAAGATTCAAAGTAAATTCCTCTAGGGTTTTGTTGAATTTAGCTTGTAACTTGGAAATTCCTTTTTCCTTCATTTTCCTATTCCCTTGTAAGATCTGAGAAATTGAAAATTAAAATCTTGTCGGGTTTTAGTGACAAAAGATGTTTCACCAATGACAGTTCTTTGTGTTTAATCACCCTGTAGAGTCCCTGCCCCCATGACTTCCAAGTCCCTCCTCTTCCTGTTGTTTTAGGTTTTTTTGCTTCAGGTTTGGTTTGCATTCATAAAAGTTTTGTTACTCCTTTCTTTTCTTAACTGTTGGCTTCAGGCACGATAGAGAGAATCACTGACTAAATCTATGCAAATAAGTTACATATGCCTGGCACTGCTCTCCAGCTCTTCCACTGCGTTTTTCAGTCTTTCAAGGCAAAACAGGTTGGACACATCCAGACAGGTAACACACTAACTGTGTGTTTAAGGGAGAGCTATTTGGCCCAGGACAAAAGAGCGTCAGGGTGATTCTGGAGGTTTGACAATATACATTTTCTCATAACTTATGTAAGCAATATAGCCCAATTTCTGATGCAATACATAATGTTCATGTATTGCTGATCTTTTTAGCCTTCTGGTCACATATGGAAAAGTCTTTATATAAATGGTGTCTGTTCTGTAGTTCATGTGGTATTTTAGTGTTCTCCATCTTCATGGAAAGGTTTGTTTGAGCGGTGTTTTCAAATAGTAACATGTTTTATTTAGTTTTCTAAGTACTCCATTTGCAGAACCCCACATACTTGTGATGCTATTCATTTAATTTTATAACTGAAGTAGCAGGAAGCCTGGGAAAACAACTGATGAATAATGGTTACCTGAGACCTACTTAAAACTACAAGTGCAAAGATAAAGCATATGTCAGCATACCTGGGGAGATGCTTTTCTAGTATTAAACCATATGGTGAAGGGCAAATGGATTGTTCCAAAAAATAAGTCATTATTAAGCTTTTCAGGTGAAGGAGTCTGTGGCAGCTATGCCTAGCCAAAAACATAGTGGAAAACTTATCATTAAAATCAGCAAAGAGCTTTAGACTTTTTTTATAGTCACTTAATTTTTCACATCAGAGTAGGAGTGTAATTTGTCTGTTTAAATCTTACCTTGCAGTACTGGTAGATTATTACTTCATCCTATTTCATGAATGGTTCTACCTTTTAGATTTCAATACTTTGGTAACCAGGCACCTACACAACTATTACCCCTCACTTGATTTAAAACTGTCGTCCTCTTTCGTACAGAGAATTTTTCTGGCCCTTGAAATTGGTCTTGGGTCATTTTGCTGAAGGCACATGCCTAAATATTCAGCTTCAGTTAAGGAATCTGTCAGGTATTTCAGTACAGTAGGAGAGTTTTTTGCTCACTACAAGAGAGTGTGATTTAATGTGCATGAAATCTCCTTACTAGTAAGAGTGAGGGTGTATGTTCATGTATATGTACATATATTTTGGTGTTTAGTTTTATCAGTGAGGTGACAATTTTCTGAAACACTGGGCTGTAAGAACTACCTGGTGAGATGAAGTATATGTCCAAAATAAGTCGGGGTGGGGAAATCAAGACGTGTAAAAAGGCTTCAGGTAATGTGCTTAACAGCTTTTCTTAGCTTGAGTCAACCTTGTAAATCTTTGTTAGTGTTGTAGGTTACTTTATTTTGAGTGTGTTACAGCTGTTATCTGTGTTACATATGAGGAAGAGTTTGGTAGTGATACCTTGTCTGCAAACTTTCCTCTTGGCAGAGCTAGAGGAACAGACTAGAAGAGCTCTAGAATTGGATCAAGAACGAAAGCGTGCAAAAGAGGAAGCAGAGCGCCTGGAAAAAGAACGTCGAGCAGCTGAATCAGCTAAAGCTGCTCTAGCCAAGCAAGCAGCTGATCAAATGAAGAACCAGGAACAGCTAGTAAGAGACTTCAACTCTATTTTAAAAAAAAAAAAATCGTAAAAGGTAGTTGAAAATTTAGATTTTATTCTTGCTTCTGTCAAATGAAGAAGTACATTGAAATAGGTAAATATGTGAGATACCATTACAGATTGTTGTTGGGAGCTGCTTTAGAAATCTGCTTTAGATTTACCACTACTTTGCAAGACAAAAATAAAACTCTGGAGCTACAGGAAATTAAATGAAGACCTTTTGTACTGACAGCATTACATTCTCTTTCTAGTAGTGTCAGGCTTATCCAGCTGAGAACAAGAGTAGCTTTTTTCTGCAGTCCACTGGGAAACCTGTTCTCTAAGACAGGTCTATTCTGAAGCTTGGTTGTGGTGGGGAGTTGGTGACACTATGGTTTGTTGTGGTTGGGGTTTTTTTGTTGTTGCCTTTTCCGTCCCATTTCCAGCATTTGCAGAATCTTCTCACATTCTGTGCTAGACTGCTTGTAAGTTTGTGCATAATAATCAAGAAAGTCATGCAAATAGTAGAAGAAATGATTTCTCATCTGTAAACCAGCTTTTGATCTCCTGTAAATATAGCACAAAATTCTGAAGGCAAGATTTAGTTTAGTAGTATTGAGATTATGATCCAGAATCATAATCTTAATGATGAGATCATTAAGTTGTATTAGACTGAAACAACCTGAAATGCTAATTTGTAACTACAGCTTGCAGTTTCCCGGCAAGCTTTGGAAGTGCAGAAGGTAAATATTTTTTTTCTGGACTTATTTCCATCAGGCAAGAGTACTCTGATTCCCTCTCTCATGTATGCCTGAAATTTCTATTTTTAGCAGAGAAGTGATGGATAGTAACCAACTCCCTTCAAGCCAGGTTCATAGCAAGGGCTCAGCCTTCTTCCACTGCAAAGCCAAAATGATACCAAATGTAAACTTCTACTTTGTTTTTTTGTTTGTTTCAGGCAGCAGAAATTGCTGAATTCACAGCCAAGATTGCACTTCTAGAGGAGGCCAAGAAAAAGAAAGAAGAGGAAGCTTCAGAATGGCAGCACAAAGTAATGAACCCATGCTGTGTGAAGTCAGAACTTCAAAGAAACTAAGGGAGATGAGTGCGGAAATCCCACTGGAAGTCCATGTGGTTGAATCTCTCTCTTTCCCTTAGGCTTCAGAGAAGTCTTTCTTAAAGGTTTTTGTTCTCCAGTCTACTGGAGACAGCCTATGCTTCTATTTAAGTCACGTCTTGTTATTGCATAGCTGTGAAGGGGGGGAAATTCCCATCACAAAGGTATGGTCACAGATCAGAAATGGCCTTCTTTTGTATGATGACGTAATAGGTTGGAGCTTCACGTTAGAGAAGAAAACATCTCAGGAAGGAGGTGTATAAAATCATGAGTTGTGGTGAAAGTATGAACCAAAACAATAACAAAGGCACATAAAATGCAATTGAACAATAATTTAAAGCAAAATAGTATTTCTTCACAAAATCTGCAATTAATTATGTAATGGGAATACTTACTGTGTGCACAGGTTCAAAAAGTGATTGAAAAAATTTCATGATTTCTGGTTGAGTATGAAATTTGAAGACATCACCTTTGATTTAGGACATCTCTGAGCCTTACATTTCAGGATGCTAAGAAAGTGGAAAAGCAATCAGTATGACTGCTCTATTCTTTCACTCTTTTCTTGTCTACTTCTGGAAATAGCTTGACTCTGGTACAGCTGATTTTGAGTCATATCTTTTTTTACCCTGTATCTCTATTTGACAGTTTTCAGTGTGTAAGCTAGTCATGTTAGTTATAAGGAATAATTTCCATGTGTCTGAGAACATCTCAAATATTTATTTTTATTTTTCTGACTATTGTTAAAGAATTTTAGAAGATGCTAAATACTGTTTACTGTATTTAGGCTTTTGCAGCCCAAGAGGACTTGGAAAAGACCAAAGAAGAATTGAAATCTGTGATGTCTGCTCCTCCTCCACCCCCTCCCCCACCAGTTATTCCTCCAACAGAGAATGAACATGATGAGCATGATGAGAACAATGCTGAAGCCAGTGCCGAACTGTCTTCTGATGGTGTTATGAATCACAGGAGTGAAGAAGAACGGGTAACAGAAACACAGAAAAACGAACGTGTTAAGAAACAGCTCCAGGTAATGAAGATTCATAGTTGCATCAACGTAATTCAGGCGCTGGGTTTTCATTCTTTTTTTGTCAAAAATCTCGTTGAAGTTATGGTGTGCCAAGGAAATAGCTGTTTTATGATTTACTAGGTTTATTAGTAATTTACCAACAAATATCATTCATAGTGTTCTAGAAGTAGAATAGGTGGAAAGGTTGGATGTGAGATCGTGCTTGATAGCCTAAAAACGTTGGTACGTTGTTGCATTGGCCGATAAACGTGTCTAATAATTATATAATGTCCAGGACATTGAATATAATAATGCTTTCCTTTCTCAATACCCAAACTCATGAAGTGGTATGAACAGATGCTTGCTTAATATTATTTGCGTGTGTTTGCAGTCATTCACAGATGTTGCAAATGCAAAAACTCAATTATGCCCATTTTGGATTAATCTTATTTCCCTGAAATGGAGTGTTTCCTCCTAGAAAGTCTTACCCCTCAAAGTGTAATGTTTTATGTTAGTGTTAACCCTTTTCCTGGTTATGAAATGTCTGTTTGGGAAGAAAACAGAAGGAAAGCTGGTACTTAGCTATCTTAGTAGCATGTGTGTGCAATGTTCTTCCTGCTTGGTTGTCACTGACTAGGATCAGGGAGAAATAGAAGAGCTGTCTTTAGTCAAGCAAAAACTTAAAAATAAGGTGATTTTCCTGCTTTATCCTGCTGGTCCCTTTCTTCTTGGATGTTATGGTGTATGAGGCTTTGGTGTTGACTTTTTTTTTTAGTTTGATGCTCACACTTAAGTAAGGAAAGAATCCTATGCTCTCCTTATCTTTCCTTCTGCATTCTTTCTGATAAACCTCACAACTTGAGTTACTGAACAGCACAACAAGCATTTTGTAGGTTGGCATTCAAGAAGTTCTTGTCCAAATTGCAGAGTAGTTGTTACCAGAAACTCCAGAATAATTAAAAGTTTAGTCAAAGCGCTTAAATATAAATATTTTGTTCAACAGGCTTTAAGTTCTGAGTTGGCTCAAGCCAGAGATGAAACCAAGAAAACACAAAATGATGTCCTTCATGCTGAGAATGTTAAAGCAGGCCGCGATAAGTACAAGACTCTCCGACAAATCCGACAAGGCAATACAAAGCAGCGTATTGATGAGTTTGAAGCAATGTGAGAGCTGTTACTTTGCATATATGTTCCTCATAAAGCTGAACCACCAACAGAGAAAAAAAAGCAGGCCTTTGCAGATTTGATGGATTGCACCCCACTTTGCCAAAGCACTTAATACCAGGTTGACTACAGTGACTAGAAGACAAATTTTTAGGGAAGCTATTCAACAGTAAGGCAGTCTGTCAACCCTAGGTTTTGAGGGGGGGGAGGGTGTGGAGGTTAATAGCAGTTTTTTCCCCATCGTGTTTTTAGTTTCACTGCTTCCCGCCCCAGATGCGAAGCATAGAATGGAAACAGATGCGAAGTATAGAATGACTGACAAGTGTATATATTGCTTAACTTTAAGAAATAGAAAGAAGAATGGAACTGAACCTAAACTGGATAGGTACTATTTCAGTATGAAGTTTGAAATTAGTTTTTGATGTAGCTACACCATTAAGAGTTTAATATTCGCTGACTTTCAGTTTTGGTTGTTTTTTCCTTGTTTTGGTTTTTTTTTGTTTGTTTTGTTTTTGTGTTTTGTTTTTTGGGGTTTTTTTTTTTTTTTTTTTTTTCTCCCAAGTGAAATTCTTGTGGTGTTTCATGTCCTGTCATCATTGATGGTTTTCTTTGCCTACCTGTTCACAAAGGTCTGGATGGCAGGTGGTAGTTCCAGGAAATGTTTTTAAATGGAACACTACCTGTGGGCAGCACATGGCTGCTGATAGGCTCGAGTAAGTATTGCTTTCCTAGGTAATTCTTTTAGATGTGTAAAGTGTTCTAATGCAGCAAAGTGGGAAAAAATAAAAAAAAAAGCTTGATGTGCTATTTGCTTGTTATTATTTTATTTGCAGTAGGGAGACCTGGACCTTTCTGGCAAGGGAGCATATGAAAACATCAGTCCCAGGGAGGGGACAGTATCCTACCTCACTACTATGTACATGCTGACTGGTCCTTCAAACACCATGAAAAAACTGTTTAAATTGACTGTCACTACACAGTGATATCACAGATTGCTAGGAGTCTTTACTCCTGGGATTTTTGTTTTACTTCAGGATGGATTTATAGTGCTAAATACTGTCTAACTGCCTTCTGTTGAGTTTATATTGTAAAAACATCTGGTGTGTTTTAAAGCTGTAACTTGTCACTGGTATACTATTTTCTGGGAGGGGTGTAGAATGTGCGTGTCAGTCAGTTTGGGTTTCCAAATACAAAACGAAAGTTTCCAGAATTGGAGTAGAAGTGTGGTAGCTTCAGTTTTCAGTGAAGCTAGTATTGTAATAATCATATCTGATGTCAGATCAATAAGTCCTTTCCCTCTTGAAAAGGAGACCTGCTTTTTTGAGAAATTTGCTTATAAATTGAACTTTAATAACAACTTTACAGTTAATGTGGACTGCATTTATCCCTTATGTTAGAGTTCCCTAGTAAATATCTACAATGGAAGAACCTAACTTTCTCTGAGGATGGTTCAGCTTTTTTTCTGTTTGATATTATGCACTCATAAATTTACACTTATCTATTAAAATTTGCCATTTTATTAAACATTTTTTTTCATGCACAATAGGTTTAAATTTCTTACAAACAGTCCAACTATTTTTTTTTTATTTTGTGGAGTAAAAATTTGGCTATGTGGGGTGACATCATGAAAGTTAAATAAAGATACATTAATATATTTTTGGTTTGTGGGGCTAAACATATCTGCTTCACCATAAAGACTGATGTGCAGATGCTGTGCACATGCTTCGAAATGCTGCTTGGTGGAAGTTGGTGTTTCAGCTTGCAGTGCATTGTAAGAACAGTTTTTGTTTTATAGGCTTCATACACCGAAGCTTAAGCAAATTTATGAAGTGTTTGAACAGTTTGCCATAGCAGGTGAAATACTGTGCTTCCAGTGAGTTTTCATTTTTCCCTGGAAAGTGTGCACTAACACTGATACATCAGTTTCAGTGTTGGGGAAAAACACCAGTAAAGTTTATTGTTCATAAATCTACAACAAGTAGGGTAGGGCTGAATGAATTAGATCCATTTATAAAGCTGTGTGATTTTTTTTTTTTTTTTTCTAAATCTAAACAACCAGGAACAACCATTTGTAATACAGATTTTCACAACGAACAAAGTGGTAATAGCTGCTGTCATCAGCAGTTGGGAACACTTACTGGTGCAGAAATACTAAGAATACATTTAATGATTACTTGGTGAAGTAATTTTCCACATGCTTTTTCCTTTAGCATCATGTTTTGTGTTGTACAATTAAGCTACAATTACATCTACTATTTTGGATAACATTCATTGGTTAACAATAAAGAGATAAAGTTAATTTCTCTGAGGTCCATTGTTGTTATTTAATGCCTTTATTTCTGACAGCTTTACTGAGCACACTCCAGTAGTGTTTTCCAGAGAAGTGTACAAATTTTGATTATCTTTTGTTCCACGCTCTGGTCAGAATGGGGAAAAAATCAAATTATATCCCTAGAGAATGGTATTTTGCTTAAGAAATTACCACGTACAGTTGGGAGGAAGCACTGGTGTTTGTCGATTCAAAACAGGATGTGAATCATCAGAGCAAATTTGCTCTCTTGAGAACAGAGGGTAATTTGGCCATATAAGAACTCTGTGGGAAATGTAAGAACTTTCAATCACTGCCTACATATTGCTTAGCCCCAGGTTAAGTGAAATTTAGTTTAATGGGTCAATATCTTAAGCATTGAGAAACCTTGAAGTGTTTTTTTGATAACTGCTCATTACAGTGGACCATGCTATCAAATACATATGTTTTGGATAAGGGCGAGTTAATGGGCTTTCTCATCTGTCTAATACACTTGGAACAGTCCCATGTAAGTGGGTATACAAATAATCTGCTAAGCAGTTTTTGCATAAATTAGACCTCCTCTCAGGTGAGATTCTATTCTCTCTTGTGTTTGTTTGGCCTTGCACTCACTACAAGCACATGACCCTTTTTGTTACTCCATAGGGCAGAATTTCTGTGAGGAATTAAAACATTTACTTCATGTTTTAACTGTGCATATTTCTAGTTTGATGTTTCTTTCTTCTTGGAGCCCCTCTTGCTGAAGCATTAGATTTGAGGTTTGTGGCTTGTTAGAGAGCTTCTGCATAGGTATGTAATTTCAGAATATTGTGTTTGAAAGGGGAGGTAAGTGCTTTAGGAGGTTATTTTTTAAAAATATGCTCTTGAGGTGGAGAGAAAAGGATGCAAAATACTGCCCCTATTTACAGGCCAGACTAATACAATTGAGCAGAATGCCTCATTGTGAAAGAAGATATTCTGTCTTTTTGAGGTAGTCCCCTCTGCACATCAAAATCTACATTTTCTGTTGCTTGTACCAGTTTGAAAAGCCTCGTGCTTTTGCTTCTGAAAACGTATTCTCTAGGGCTGTTCATGTTAACTGCCTTAAGCACCACTGGGGATAAAGGAGGTTTGTTCTAAATGAAATATTTCAAACTTCTGAGAGCAAAGTACCTCAGATACGTTTTCTAAGTTTTTAATGAAAATAACAGAGATTAAAATGATTAGTTAAAACCTTTTGCTCTTGAAAAGGAACTCTTATGCAATCATTTTCCATGTCTGTTCATGTGGATAATCTAAAAAGTTGTTCTGCCCAAGACACTGTATTAGTTCCAAGAATCAGGGATTTTAACAAAGATGAGGAATCCCAGTAGGGTAGCTGATCCTAGTGTTCATAAATGTACTTTCTGAGTAAAAATATCATCATAAGAAAATTGAAAGCTTCCTTACAAAACAGCAAAGTTCCCTTATTAATGGAACTTTTCTCATACACGTGATTTAATTTATCTTGGCTAGGTGCTAGGATTTTCCTGGAAAATGTAATAGGTGTCAATGGATCAGCATGCAAACTGTGGTGATTTCTTTGACCCCCTTCAGACCACGTTCTGCCGTTTGTGCTTGGAGATGGAGAGCGCCTGCCTCCCAGCCGAGGTGCCGTGCTGGCTGCCAGCTTGGGGGGTGGCTGGGGAAATGGTTCTGGCTGGCCACTGTGAGCACCTGCCAGACAGTGTGTCCCTCTGCTCCTATTCCCAAGCAGCACAGGGCAGTGTCTGTCCTCCCCAGCCAGTTGGTCCGCAGACATGTGAGTCCTACATGACTGGTCCTTTATCCCAGTTTGCAGACCCAGTCAGCAGCAAGGAGCAACATAGGTCTGAAAGGGGCGACATTACTGGTAGAGGGCTATAAGAGGGAAACAAACACAAATGTTGCGTGTCAGAATCCCTTACTGGCCCACTTACGTGTGTTGAAGACTCATTTTCGGTGCACTACTGCAGCATCTGTGTGACCAATAATTTGTTTAGCCAACTCAGCAGCCAATTTGTTGGAACAAGTTTCACTTTTCACTTCGCTGAGCTGAGTCTATATCTAAAGGCATAGGCTAGTTATTTGATTTTGTTTTGATTCATGGAGTTTGTCACTTGTGTTCGTTTTACTGTCTGAGTTGATAAACTGCTACTTTGGAGTGCAATTAGAGCAACTTTGGCTTGTTTTGCTTTCTCTTCCTTCCATGCAAGGAGATTGCCGCCACGTCAAATGTGTATGTTTTGTTCAATGTGAATGAAGTAGGCTCACCAAGCCCAAAAGAGTTTCCCACCAAACCATCAAATTTCTTCACAAGAAGGGACCACAGTATCTGCAGCCTGCAATATTCTATTCAGTAAGAGACAGCTTGTGCCCACATAGCTTATAGCTCAGGAAAGACAAAGTTAGCAAAAGGAAATTGAGCATTTTGAATTGCTGGTATTCCATGAGGTGTTTATATTGGCTTTTGTAAATAATGTGTCAGAGTGTTTCTTTTCACAGCAGTAGGCTTTAGGCAGCAGAAGAAACGAGGGCAGATGGAAATGCACATCAAAGGAGGAGGCCTGCTTGGTGTAAATATTCCTAATACACGTGTGCATAACAGTTAATGTTTCCTGTGCTCTGGATAAGTGGATCAGGTGAAAAGAGATCAAGCTCAGAGGTAGGACAATTGCATTGCTTTTCCTGTTGTTTGGTTTCTTTTGTTTGTTTGTTTACTTTTAAGCTACCTTATTTACAGAGGAGGAGGTACCATTATCTGAAGGCTGTTAGAAAGCCTGCTGCCCAGAACCAAAAGGTCTTGGAGTTCTTAAGGCGGTGCCGTATGTTCCCAGACTGGCTTCTGTATTATAACTTGCTAAATTTCAGCAGAAGACATTCTCTGCAGTCTGGTAATTTTGCCTTAGCACATTTGTGCTTTGTCAAGAACTGTCAAGAACTGTGTCCCTGCACTGTTCTGGCTGCCCCACTGCTTGTTCCAGCAACACAAAACCCCCGTGTACCCATGTGAAACAGTAATCGCACGACAGGCTCTGTGACTGCATACGCTGAACTCTGCGGGATCTTGTATCCAATCTACAGCTCCCTATGGCCTCAGCTTTCACACTTCTTATTCACCCTTGATTTCTTCATTAAACTTGATACAGTATTTAACTTCTTAATCTCTAGCTTCAATAAGGTTCTACTAAACTGCACTTCCAGTGAATCGCTGACTACTGTGTCAAATGTTTTCTTAAAATACATTATACTGAGGAGTTGAAGTTGCCACACTTTTCTTTTATTCAAATAGCACTTCTGATTATTTAATAGTATTTGTGAATATGGTAATTCCAGTTGTGTTGTCAGAAAGAGATTAATTTGCATTGGGACAGAGGCTCAAAACTTTTCTACCAAGTGCACTTCGATCTCCAGCAAAATAAGCTGAGAAATAACATCCAGAATACACAGACCAGCCGATCCTGCCACCACCTTTATTGCTGGGAACAAATTCATTTAGGTTTAGGGATTTGGGACAGGACCGCAACCTTGTTCGCACATCAGAAAAATTTCTAAAAATGGTAAGAAATTTTCATACCATTAATTGGCACTTCTGCTCTTTGTTTCCTGTCTTTAATAGTTTTTCTTCAGTTAAATCCACTTTCTGAATTCTTGGATCTCTTCTCTTGTGAGCAGTGTTTTGGGCATCCATCTTGCTGCTCTGTGCTAATTGCTGTATTTCATAGCATTTGGAAACACAGCTCTTCCTCTTCTTTTGCATTTGGGATCTTGGTGTTGTTTTCAACAAAGCCAGTGAACTCATCTTTAAATTTAGAGCAATTACTGCTTCTTCTTGGGATAATCTTTGGATTGATTTTGACTACATGTCTTCTTATCAGTTCACACATGGCATATGCCACCTTATAGAATAAATAACTGAATTGACTAGTTAATAATTTCTAGTAGCTTTCTGGAGAACAGAATCTCAGAAAACAAGTTTGTTAATGCAGAATCTGAATTAAAGTGTTTATACCCACGAGGTTCAACTTTGAGCCCAGCACTACTCAAACACACAAGGGAGCACATGGAAGAGAAATTCTGTGCTGTCACTGTGTAACTCATCTGCCTGCCTGGACTAGGCAAGAGAAAGCACTGGAGCAGGATGGTAGTGCCTGTCCAAACAGCAGAGTTGTCAGGCACAACTGCGTGGTGCTGTGGCTTTGCTTTTCTGCACAACAGGTGCGCTGGATGTAAAAATACTGGGGGAAAAAAAAAACACAACCAAAAAAAACCCCCCATAAAATAGTTGGTTTGTCCTGTGGAGCCTTGTTTAAGAGAGTTACGCTTCTATGGCTGCCTGGGTTTGCAGGTCACCCTGGTAAAAACTGAACTCCTCTATAGCATAAGTGCAGATACCTGAGAGGAGGAGTCGGGTATCCCATGGCTCTTCAGCCCGTCGTGCCTTTAAGAAGCAGTGGCAGGTGTGTGCGGGAAAAAGTCTTATATCTGTCTCTGTTCATTTTAACATGGGGCCATGAAAATAAAATCTGGAGAACCTGCTTTCTACCAGTTACATTTGTACCCTTTGGGATGGCCCTTTTGTATGTGTTTCTCCTGCTCTCGATCTAGTTCTTCTCAACTCTCTTTTCTGCTTTACTGCTGGATTTGGCCTTGTCTTTGGTGTTTTGTTTGTTTTTTTTGCGTGGTTTTTTTTTTGCTCGTTTCTTTTTCTTGCTAATGTGTCATGCCATGTGTTTCATCCAAAGAACAGATTTCAGTTTAGATCACTGAGATCTTTAATGCAATTAAATAAGTTTGTGTCAGTATGAGAATGCAAATCAAGACAGGGAAGGGCCATGTTACGTAATTATTAGTTTAAAAACATTGTGGGGGGAGGTTTAAACCTTAAGTCTTAGCAAAAAAATATGTTGCATTAGCTGAATACTTAGACTACAAGGTGAAAACTAGAGGCAGACAGCTACATATGGCATGCTGGACTTCTCAGACTAAATTCA